CAGTTTATACGGATGAAATCCTGCTACCACTTTGTTCCCTGCAGGACCTGAGGTTGAATGAGGATTAATGACAGACTTGGAATCAGTCTAACGTGGGCAGCCAGGGAGCTTTTGACCTTAGCTTTGCCCCCTTCTATTCACCCAGGCTAGGTACAAGCAATTAAAGTAACCCAAGGCTTATCTGCACTCCAAAATCCATTTAATACAAGTGTAGGGAAACAACTTAAACTCAGTATATAAACTTTGTCTTTTGTGCTCACCAAGGAGCCAATTAAGCCTCAGTTTTCACTGGTCTCCCTCACAAGGTTTTTTTTGTCTACTTAAGCCTTATATACTTTTTAACAAAATACCTATGTCCTACGTCTTGTGAGTAGGAAATGAAATCGAGAACAGTCCATGGGAAAGACTGAAAGAATAGGACGTTCCTCCAAGACTGGAGGCAACTGACTTTCAGGGTTGAGTGAAGGAGTGAGAAATATCATGGGAAATCAGTCATGTCTGGAATTACATTTTGGGATTAGTAAAACTACATATCATCCCATCTAATATTTTTCCTGAGAATTCTTTTTTTATGGTCTTGGAGAACAGAGAATATTTTTTGGTACAATTGGTCCCTGATTTTTCGAAGTCCTTATGACATGCTATTTAGTTCAGTGGACATTCCTTGGATTCCTTCTAGGCATTATGCTTAATGCTAAACACTAGCATGGGACAATTATACTGATAGCACTGGTAGCATGCACTATGTAGCATCAGCCTATATTTATAAATGTCAAATTCTTAACTTGGAATAAGGATTCTATACATTTATATGATGCTTTAGGGATTTTTTTTTTTTTTTTTTTTTGCGGTACTGGGGATTGAACTCAGGACCTTGCACTTGCCAGGCAAGCACTTATTCTACTGAGGTATCTCCCCAGCCCCTAGGGATGTTTTGTAAGTTTTTTTTTTTTTCTCTAAATGCCCTAAGGGGTGGTTTGGCTGGCTGCAGTGTTGTGGGGATCGAACTACAGCAACCTGAGGCTGACAGCTTTGTGGAAGCAGCCACTTAAACAACTGAGCTAAGGCCAGGCCCCCAATAAGGATTTTTTTTTTTTTTTGGTTGTTCGAATGCCTTCAGGGCACTTTTGGCCACCAGGAGAGGTGTGAGGTTCGAACTCCAGCAACCTGAGGCTGACAGCTTTGTGGAAGCAGCCACTTAAAGGCCTGAGCTAGGGCCAGGCCCCCTCCTAGGGACGTTTTAAAGCATACTTTCATCAATCTTACTTTCATCATTATCATCTTCATTGTAAATAGACTTGGAGAATTTAGTAAAGATCATATAGCAGAATTAGAACTCAAATTCATGTCTTTGGAATCCTGGCCCAATTCTTCTCCTCCTCCTCCTCCCTCTTCTCCTCCTCTTTCCTCCTTCCTCTTCTTCCTTCTCCCTCCTCCTCCTCCTCCTTCTTCTTTGGAAGGCAGACAGCTTTATTATGGTAGCACACTGGGGACACCAAGGTCAAAATCACCTTGGTGTCCCAAAGTGCTACCATGGTCAAAATCATCAGCCCCATTCTGAGGTTGCTAGTTGCTTTTATTGGTTTTTCTCAAAGAAGAGCAAAAGGTATATAACATTATATATTTTTTGTTGTTGTTATATTCTATAGTTGGTCACGCACGTCTTTGTCAGTTGCCAGGCAGAATTTACTTTTACAGTAACTAATAAAGTTACTATCCTATAACATGAGGGGAAGAATCAGTCATTGTCTGAGACCTGGCAAAGGTGTCTTTGAGGCAGTAACTCTCTGGGACTTAAAAGTAAGAAAAAATCACTACTGGCTAAGTTGCACTTACCTTGAACCTAGCTCTGGGAGCATCATAGTTCATTAAGTTTTGTAGCTTTCTAATTATGCGAATAAGCTGTATTTCCTAGTCTCATTTAGCATTGGAAATACACTAGTATTAGAACTATAATATTAAAATTTTCATTACATTTAAAATAGCCCCTACACCAAACATACTCACTGGAAGAAGATAGCCTCTTTAACAAATGGTGCTGGAAAAACTGGCTCTCTACATGCTGAAAACTAAAACTTGACCCAGGTCGATCACCATGCACTAAACTAAAGTCAAACTGGATTAAAGATCTAACCATTAAAGCAGACACTAAATCTCCTGGAAGAGAAAGTAGGAGGAACTCTTGAAGACATAGGGGTAGGCAAAGACTTCACGAACAGAAATCAAACTGCATGGGAAACAGTTGAAAGAATTAACAACTGGAACCTGCTCTTACTGAGAAGTTTTTTCATGTC